TGTTTGGCATGTGGCCTACAGAAGTGCGGAGAGGGGGAGGGGAGTAGAGATAAAGAAACCCCATATATGCAGTCTTTTCCAGGGTCAGATTCTTCCAAATTCATTACACACGTGTGTTTACCTTTACACTGAGCTACTAATTTTTTTTTTATTTGCATGCTACGTGTATAGCACTATGTGTCATGCTGTATTACTCAGTTGGCTAACTTGCATATTTGCAACATTCTTAACACAAAACAAGCAAAAAACCAAAAACCTTAGCTTTATTGCTGATGAAAAGTACCTGCTTAGCTGCTCGAGTCTGATGTTTTTGTTGCTCTGGTTCTATACTAAAGAGATTTTCCTGAAGACCCTACTGCTACTCTGTGGTAACCTTCAGTTTGATGTGCCCTACATGGGTTTGCTCAGAACGATGCATGTCTAGGCATCTCTGACGTAATAGGAAACATTAATTTATACTACCTGAAAGAGTGGTAGTAACAGGACTGAAACTTCCCAAGGGCTATTTGGTGGATGGTGCTGTCCTACTTGCATGAAATGTGAAAGTTGAGTCAGTGGGTGTAGATAAAAGCAAGGGGTGAGTGCTGAGGAGCCTTCTGATAGAGGGGGCAGGATGTGGCACTGGCACAGCTGAAGAAGGGGCCTTACAAAAATGTTTGGGCTGCCTGGATAAGTGGAATGTGGGATGGTTTGTGGGGTTGCAGTGGAGGAAGCTTGATGCAGCCGTTCTGTGAAGTTAAGGTCTCCAGTTATGCTGGCCACCTGAGTCCTTGCAGTATTCTTGGCAGAAGGGAGCATCTCTCGTGCATTTTTTCCAGGAGAAACAGATGCTGGTGCTGCATGATAAATGGCAGTTCAAGGTGGCTTTTACACTGAACAGTATTAACCATGGATGGGAGTACCCGTGTTTTGCATCATCCCAGCAGAAGTTACCTCCCAAGCCTTTGGTGATAAGTGTGACTTGCGGGGTCAAAAACAGGCTAATATTACAAGAGATTCAGAAATTGTATGTGATGCAACAGTCACTGCCTCTGTCCAGAGATCTGTATTTTCTGATCTGCTCTGGGCAGCAGTCGCTGTGCAACTTTTGATTATGAGGCAGTGTGAGAGCCCTACTGACTTAAATGCCTCCTACTTGCTTGCCAAGTCATGGATACAGTGTCTTTCTGGGTGTCATATCTATTCTCTTTCCTTCTAGATTTTTTTTCCTGAAGAGGATGGGGAGTAGGGCTACAATTGTCTATTGGAATGGATGTTTTTGAGAGTCCATTGCATGCCATTTATTTTATTAGCTGTACCTTTAACTTCTGGAATGCATTGTACAATGCTGCTGTTTTGAACATAGTGGGAAAAAAAAAAAAACAGTTCAATCCTATCAGAGGAATACTTGAGCAACAGTTGATGCCTGCATAGTTGTTTCTTCTGTGTGGACAGATTTATGCCTAATTTAATTTTGAAAATAAAATGAGGTCTGTAAATAGATTTATATAACTTGCATTATAGTTAAATGTGTGTAATTTTGAGAAAGCTTGAATATAACATTGACATTTCATCTACAATAATGACACATTTATTGATGCCCTAGAATGGCATCTTTATTGCTTTAATGAAAAGATGCATAACTTTTATATGGGCAATACAGCATGATGGCTTTTAAGCATCTTACGTAGAACACAGCTATTTTAGTTTATAAATGAGCATAACTGCTGCACAATGATGAAGGGAAACTGCGTGTACCCTTTTGTTTTCCAGGAGCAAAACAAAATTGCTGATACAGTAGTGTTAAAGATGTTACAGCATCAGTAATGAAATCTGAAAACATGCAATTGGAAGAACTAATGTAAACAGATTAAGTATGTGGCAGTCTCTAAAATTATTAATTCCTTTAACAACTCTGAGTCACAGTGCTTAGAAGAAGAGACACTAATTAGATATAGAACTGAAAACAGGGGTCTAAAATGACTACCAAAGACAGATCTTCCTATCCTAGCCTTCAGCCTCTAACACTTCCCTTTAAGCTGGAAAAAGGATTACCAGCTTTGTGTGAAAAATAAGGAAATGTACACTGATAGCCTTTCCTTGACTCTGAGATGAATCTGATAGAACTGAGTGTTCTCAGGGTCCCTGTGAGAGACTGCATTACTTAACAGTTTGTTCAAGTTCTGTTCTGTTTAGTTCTTAAATATGAGGGAATCTGTTTAGCGGTACAAGGTAAATAGGAAGCAATTTTCTAAATGCTAAATCTTTCTTTAATTGTGTTTGTGTGTGTGTAAGTGTGTATTTTTCCTTACCAAAAAGGGTGTGGTTAAAAACCACAGTAAAGATGAATTAAAGTCTCTGTTCTTGTAAGAGGCTAACACCATATCTCCTAAAACGTTTTACTGTCTGCATGATCATGGCGTCATTCTGCAACATCAGAATCAATTTCAGACCACTCCAGGCTTCCCTGTTCAATATCTATATCTAGGTGCAGCTTCCGCACTAGGTAAATATTGAGGGGTAATTTAGGACCCAGCTGTGTCAGTTTCTCTTGGGTCTGGGATGTTAATGATAATGTAATTATAGACAGGGATATAGTTATCACAGCAGCTTCTCAAAGGGGAAATTGACTCTTGATCTCAGTTGTTTCTTAAATGTGGGAGTTGGCATTAGTGTGCTTGCCTTCTTATACGAAAATACTGGATATTGGATTATATGTCAATAATGTTTCAATTTAATAGCTGAATATTGAAGGAATATTCATGAAACTGCTTCCTGAAGACGTGGCGATTTTTGTACTAAAAAGCTGAATGCTCTTCTGAAAGCTATTCTGCCAAGGATTTTCAGCAGGCCTTAATCTTAACATTTTCCTGTAGCTTATTCTGTTTCATGTTTCAGAAGTAAACTGGTTATTTCAGGTCATGAGAAAATCTTAAATTAGGTGTTGTATTTCTTTTTCAAAGTACGGGTTAGTATTCGGTTAGACGGGTGGGTGGGTGTGGGGTGGGTGTAGATTATCATGTTACCTGCCATCTCCTTTCTTTTCCAGGATTTAAAAAAAAAAAAAAAAGTGCACGAGTTAGGTGCTACCAATGCTTTACACTCATCTTGGTGATTTGTGGGTAAGGGTGATTCATCAAATATCCTATATTTAAGTATCATATACGACTGAATAACAAAAAACACAGAAACAGGACAAACTCCAAAACAAAAGGCATAACATGCTGTCAAACAAATAGTGTTAACTTTAAAGGATTTTATTTACAAGTAAGAAACATTTTTTTAACATCTGCTTTTAATAATAGGCTCCCTTTAAAGCATTAAATTCCCCAAATGAAGAATATGCAATGTTTCATTTTAGGTGGAGCCTGCTGCTTGGCTGGCCACTCATTGTCATGGAGTCTAAATATTGCTAGGGGAAACAATTTTTTTTGCTGATGTAATTAATGCACTAGAATCTACAGAGGTTTATTCCAGTGCTATGAAGAATAAAGAATATAACCTGCCTGACATGCATTTACCCACCAGTCATACCACTGCCATAACGGACTGCAATTGCTCTGTGTTTTCTGCATGCCACTTCCTTTGACAGAGCTGCCATTCATACTCTTGGTTCCAGGTGGTGTCCTTTTCAACTCTTGTCTCCTCTCCTGCTCAGACTGTGCTCACCCTAATGTTTTTTTGATTTGTTTTTTAAATAACTAGTAACCCGGAAGACTTTCCTCCTGTTCTTGTTTTCAGGGTGTGCACAGCCTGTGGAGTTAGTTGATATCACTGTGCACCTTGTACACTTTTCCTCACAAGTCCAGACAGAGAAACATTGAAGTTTTTTGTTCAGCTGGGGGCAAAAAAGTCTGTGTAGAGCATCAGGACAAAGAGGGGTTTTTAAGTTGAGTATTTCTCAAGGAGTGTATTAATACGAATTTAGTCATTCCAAAAGTTGTGTAGAAATCAAGTGCTAATGAATAAGTGGTCATGCTGGAGATGAGCTGACTGATGGCAAAAAGAAAGCCACAGTCTGTAGAAGGTAACTCTCCTGGGTGTCGCAGGGTGCTGACACTAATCCAAATGCAGCTTTTAATTACACCAGATTGCTCTTCCTGAAGACTGAACCCTGTTGTTGGTCCAGACTAGAAGGCATGGATTCAACTTTCACTCTTTTTCCAGAGCTTGTTTTGCTGTGATCACATGGGATACAGAAGGTTGACTGTCCTCTGTTTTCTTAGTATCTTGCTAGAACCAGCTTGGAGGTCTGGTAGAGGAAACAGGCCATGTCCTGAGAGCTCAGCGGGGGAGGGAGAATCATCACATTAGGAAGTAGTGTCCTTTCCGTGGTTCAGCTGATGAGAAGGAGCAAAAAGACTTAGTGGATTAAGTTTGGAAAAATTTAAATGTAGGCTGGTCGTCTTTTCTTTCAGCAGCACTAGGGATGTGCCATCTATCTGAGTGGTTAATTTATTCGTTTTAAAGACAAACATGTGGGATACAAACTCAGTAAAGCTAGTTGCAGTCTGCAAAGGGCAATCTCTTAACCTGTTCCTCTCTACAAAGTGTGAGCTGGGAAAAGCCTTAAATACTGAAAGTTTTGGCTGGCCTGTGGTTAGGGTGGGGTGTGATCAGCTGGGGCACCTCATTGCTTATCCACATGATGTATGTGATGAAGGTCCAATGGGGCCAGTGCAGCTCCAAAATAAAAACCAGGACTAGGCAAATGAAAGAGAACTTTTTTTAAATACAGCAAGAACAAATGGATTTTTTTCCTGCACTACTCTTCTACAGAGTTTCCATGTTAAAGGTCATCTCCAGTGATCACTTCGGCCCTGGCTTGAGCCATTAAGTCCTTGGGAACCTGTGCTGCACAGCTTGCAAATTACTTTTATGCGGCTTTCTCTGTGCCATTTCTTTGGGTTGGACTTTTGTTTCAGCTTTCAATGGTGATAAATGTGTGCAGGATCATTCAGGAGAGCTGGACACAGTGCTGGTACTAATAATATTTCTCCCTTCTTTTTCTTTTACTCCAGACCAATGAGTGGAATAAGAATGATGATCGGCTGCTGCAGGCGGTGGAGAATGGTGATCCTGAGAAAGTGGCTTCATTGCTGGGTAAAAAGGGAGCCAGTGCCACCAAACAAGATAGTGAGGGCAAAACTGCGTAAGTCCAACTTAAATTGTGATTTAAGCACAAGGGAGGGGAAAAAACAGCCTTGGATCTGTATTCCACTTACATGAATTAAGAACCAGCGACCATCCTGAAAATGAAGTTTTCTTTTTCATCTGAAGCACAACACAGTCTGGAAAGCTCCTTTCTGGTAGTCTATATTTGTAATTCTACATTTAAAATGCCATTTCAGAATCACAAACCCAGTGAGGTAACTTGAAGCTGGATTGCTGGGTAGATTGGGGCCATTTTAGGACAGGGTATTTTGGGACTCTGGTATTTCATGGCACATGGCAGACTGCACACTCCAAAAGGCATTAATCTTTGGAGCTATTTTTTCCCATGGACATTAGTTTAATGACATAGAAATTAAGATAAATTTTCTTTCTAATGGGTTAGTTTGAACTGAAACTATGGTGACTTTTAAAATCTTGCAGATGCTAATGATTCGTGCAACTGTTCCTTGCTTTAATTGAAGTTTGGCAATGACAGTTTTGTGTGAACAAGATTCCTTTTGCACTCTCAATATATTTCATGTACAGCATTTTCTCCTTCTATTCTTCCTCTTGTTCTCCTGTGGACATTCTGAATTGTGGAAGATAAAAGATTCCAGTAAGAAAATTACAGCCAAGAGATTGCTATCCTTAAACTTACTTTCTTATAGCATAGAAAGATGAATAAATGGATAAATGAGAAATAGGCATCCCATGACAGAACCAAAGCCTTCATAAAATTCTGGATAGATGGGGAGAAAAGAAAACAGTTTCTAGTCTTGGGAGAGGCAGCACAAGGCAGTTTATACCAAATAATAAGTTCTAATGAATTACCTCTGGCTTGCATTTATTGAGTCACGCTCTGCTTCTTGCTTGGTCTGTTTCAGTTTCCTACATTTGCTCCCTTTCTGTTCTGCATCTGAGGAAACTGAATGATGGCAATGATTCATAATGACCTGCAACTTCTTACTGCAGAAGTCTAAGTCCTCTAATTACTTCAAGTGGGCTTTCTCCACACTTTAATATGCTTTTAATTTTAAAAAGTTGCATACATGTGCTTTTCTTTTGAACATAATCAAAGCATGACTTCCATTGAATCTTCTGAATTACAGCTATGTTTAGCATCTCATGTTTTTACAGTCAACATAACTTCAGAGCTAGATTCCTAAGCTGCACTGTATCCAGTGTAACACCTAGTTTGCAAGTTTCATATAGAAATTGATACTATGAATTTTTTTAGGGAACCAACCAAGACTGAAATTATTGGTGAGTACATACAAGCCTCTTAACTCTAAGAAATAGGGTTGATTGTAACTGCAGGGATCTGGTGCAATGATTTTCAGCTTTACAGGGATACACTACAAAAGTCCCCTTTTTTCCTCTTTATTTGCAACTACAAAGAAGTTGATGACCATATATTTATATTAATGATGCTGTTACTAATAATGCAAGTACAAGTACTTCTTTTAATTGCTTGGAACAAATGTGAATTAATGCTATGAAGATCTCTGCTTCTGCTTGTTCTGAATGCTCATTTAATTGTAATTTACTTTTTTAGTTATTTCTGTGTAGTGGTTTAAAAGAAAGCTTGAGAGAGAACGAAGAAAAATAGAATTGCTCTGATACAGAAATACAGTGTGTCAACTCTCATTCTGTTTCCAATGCTTTGGGAAACTTGGCAGACCTGCTGAAGTTATTTCTGTCTCAGTTTTGAAAAGTAAAGACTGACGGGTGTAGAAATAATGACACCGATCTGGAGAGACGTAGCTACCAAAGAGTATCATGACCCAGAAATGTTCTCCAGTATGGCTTATGAATAATGGTAGTGTCTTGTTTGCATTTTTCCCACTTTGGAGTCTTTTTTTAGTGTGTGCAAAATAAAGTACAGCCATCATTTCTGTATAGGTAGGCTCGTTTCTCCTGTGTTTACAGCGTGATCCCAGAGCTTCATTGCTGCACAGTGATTCTGGGTGCCTAGCAGAGCTGTTTTGCCCTATCTCAGAAGCTCTGCTTAGAGACATAGACCCCGCTGCAGCCCACACTGTTAGTGTCCTGCAGAAGCATGGTACTAGTTTGTCAGCTACCTCATCTGTAACATGGGAGACTCTCATGCTGGGAAAGTGCAATCTGGAGAGGTCTGTTTGGGACAACTGGCCACCATTGTGCTCAGATTTCACTGGTTACGTTATAGAAAGTGGTCTGCAGTGCCATGTGGGAAGGGAGCTCTTCGGATGATGGTCTATTGATCCCTGTGAATATATATTGATACATTTGTTTACATAATTAGGCTGAAGGTGACTAACCAGAAGAACATGATGGATTCAGTTATATAACAACGTGCAATGTGACTAAAGACTTTGGAATGTGCTTCAAAGCAAAAAAGGAGAAACAATTTCATGTTGCAGTACAGGTCTGTCATTGTCTGTTCCCTTAAGGTGTGACAGTTTCTTTTAAGATCTTTTCTTTTTCATTCTTTTTGTTAATAACCCTACAGACAAAATTCTTGATACTGCCCATTTGAAGTCTAGTAATATAGTACATTATTTTAAACAGAAGGTGGAGAGGACTCTTAATTTTTCATTCTTAAAGGGGTACTTCTAAGTTCTCGTTTTATAATCAAATGGCTGCTGAATATAAAACGCTTGAACTGAGAGAGGAACAGAGACCAGAACCCAGGATTTTCTCTATTTTTCTTGTTGAGTACTGTATACATCATTCCACTAAGTCCTGCTACGATGTGCTCAAGCTCTGGCTCAGTTTTGGACATAACCACTTAAATTTCACCTGTGTCCTCTTTTGCCTCTGTCCTGTAGGTCCTTTTCTTCTTGTCCACATGCAATAAAATAGAGATGCTTAGATTAATGAGGTCTAGGTGCCAGTAAATTTCTTAGAGGCACTATGTACAGATTTTCATCAGGAGATTTAACTCTCCAGCAGTACCTCTTAAAAAAAGTGTTAAAAAAATATCATCAGAGTAATGAAATGAGTTTTTTAAGATTCGCTTGACTTTCCACACCACCACACTGCCTCTGACTCAGTCCTTTCTATAAACAATAAATCAATTTTAAGGAGCAAATCCACCTTTGGCATAAGTTGACACAGCCCCATTGTTGCTCCCACTTACAAAGCACAGACTATTGCCAAGCACACTCGTAATAGAACCTATCTGGAAATCTGACTCTGCCATTGTAGTCTTATTCTGCCAGATAGGGTGTTTTTTTGTCCAGCTTCCTTAAACAACAAAACAGTGCTTTCCAGTTTGGAATTTGATCATTTAAATCCCACTTAAACTAACAAAAAAGGGTTTTCAAAGAGAGCCTTTTCAGGAGGGGATAGGATTCATTCATGTACTGCACTTTCCACAAAAGCAAGTGTTCAAATGGGCTGTTATTTAAAGAAGCTGCTGCTATTATTGAAGGGGAGTGCAGGGGGCAGAATTTTGGAAAGGATTCACGATGTATAAATGGCAGCACTTCCTTGTCCTGAAGTTATTTTGTCTGTGTGCCAGTCCATCACTGCCATGTTTGCATGTTTCTGCAAGGTACTGAACTAGAATTAAATGCTTATGGCTATTAAATGAAACAATAGGTCTCTGTAAATTTTTTTAACTGTAATTGAATCAGCTGTTTTTTAATAAAATGAGTCTGACAAGGGTACAAAAAAGCTTTAGAAACTTCCACAAATGCACTCTTTAAGGATTCTTTCACAAAACTATTGTCAGTAGCAGTTAGTAGAAATGATATATTTTCATTTGAATCAGAATGTTCATGCCTTGGAGGCTGAACCGAAAATACATTTTGGAGCATATTCCAACCCCAAATTCTTTATATTTATCATGTACATAGTATTCATTTTTCTTTTCTTTCTTTTGGATCTTATTGTATAAGGAGGTGGGGTGAGTGGCATGAGGGACATCGCTGTTCAAAAAGTAAATCAGGTTTTAATTACCTTTGAGAGAGAGTCTTTCATTGTACGTAATAATATTTATCTTAAAGGAAGCTATTGGAAGAATACAGATTTACTATAGTCGTTGCACTGTTCTAGTTGAGAAAGAAAACCATAGAAAATGGTTTAGACAGCCCATCTTCAAAATTGGAGAAGTCAGGTGAACCCAGTGCCTACGAAATGGAAGAAGGGTTGTATTATCCTCCCTTTCTGGATTACAGATTGCTATAAATCCTCTAGGAGACCTTGAAATTCAGGCACTCTCTACATTATTTTCTTGTGCACGTGTTGGGGGGTCCTCAGTCTAACACCATGCTCTAGAAGATGTTTCTTTTGTTCAGACTCTGTGTCATCTCTTAAAATTGCTGAGACACTTAAGTAGAAAAGCATACTAGCATACTGTCTTTTCAAAATTGTACCGGGGTATAAGCTGCAAGACAGGTCTAGTGCCTGAGGATTGTCACCTCTCCAGGAATGGAGTTCATTCCTGTTCCAGTGGTGTTCCAGTGACCTGATATGATTCCTCATAGAAAATAGTTTTTAATTTACTTTTATCATGATACTTAATTTATGATGGTCCAGATGGTCACAATAATGTCTAGGTTTCAGAGCATGGACAAAATAAAGATGACCACAGTGATCTCCACCTGTGTTTTACCTCTAGCTAATAGATGGCTGAAATATGGTTCTTATTCAAAAATTTCTAGTACAGTTTATTTCCGTGGGAGATTTGGGTGTAAAAGCTTTTGCCTCTCCAAAACTTTCCTGAAGTTCTTTTCAGGTTCAAATCCTGATTGTTCCGTTTTGTTCCCCCTCTCCCCGCAGCATTGTTATGAATATAATTCAATTAAGATTTTGATATTAAGTTTCATGAAATTGCTTTCTACTTTAGACTAATACTTAGAAATGTTAATGAAACATCTGGGCATGGTTGGGCAAAGCCGTCCTCTGCCAGGGTACTAAATAGGGCTAATTAACTTTCTGTTACGTTCAGCATGAGCCAGTTTTTAGTGTATATTGAGAGGAAATGCTCTTCTCTCCATAACGGAGGAGCAA